GCAGACAAAGAGGAGGAGAGGAGAAATTTGGAGTCAACACTCAAGATGCCAGAGCGGCCGCCTCTGTGAGTGAAGGACCAAACTTCTGTGAAGAGCTGAGGACAACAGGGAGGCCGTTCGTTTGAAGAGGTGTATATAGGTGTAATGAGCCCGAGGCCAGGTCACCAATATGGTATCGCAACACCATGGTCACTGTGGTGACACCCCCCACAAGAGGAATCCCGAACTTCTTCCTCCCATGCAAGGTGGGATTCTGAAGGCTTTGTCCATGTGAAAAGGGGAAGACAGAGTTCCCACAAGGGATACTGATGGAGGCTCCCCATTTGCCAATGCATCATCTCAATTTCTTATAAGATCCAGGGCCATCCTCGCTGCTGTTGGGGTCATTATCGAAACGGCATCTTTGGAATATGCAAAAAAGGAGCTAACTAAAAGCAGGAAAAAGGATTCTTTTCACAAGGAGAGGTGTCTGGGAGGATGGAACCAGCTGGAACAGACCCACAAGCAACACCATCAGGGCCCCTGTGTGCCAGTTTCTCCAGGAAAGAGCTAAGAGGGGCAGAAGGAACCAGCATGTCCATGTCCCTGTCACCGCACAGACAGGTCTGTCCTCAGAGAGGGCACAGGGCACACTAGTAAGGGCCTCACCCCCCCTCAGTGCTAGAAAGTAGGGCTGCAACGTGGGAAGAGCCCCAAGTTCACAGACAGATGAGGCACTTCTGGCCACCCACTGAGGATGACTGGAAGGAATGGTGCAACTCTCTCAGAAGAAGAGGGGTTTTCGGAGGATGACTCAAACCACAGGCCTCCCTGTGGCAGGAACCAGAAACAAGCACGCAATAGGCAGAGGAAACCCTGTGAGGCCACCCCAGCAGTCACCTCACCCAGTGCTGCACACCGAGCTGCAGAGTCTGCCAAACCCCAGGCTGAGCAGAGGAAGCCCAGAGGGCAGGGAGCACCCACCACCTCTCCGGGCAACTGCACAGCACGAGGAATGTTGAGAGTGAGACAGAAAACACTGATGCTCATCATGGCCAGACATTCATCTGAACTGACTGGGAACTGTGGGTCATCAGGGCTTTCCCTTCCCCACTCTCCCCCAGGCTGCCTGCACAGAGCTCCAGGCAGGGAAGCACCTGGCAAGATGAGGGCAACCACGGGCACTCCGTGGTCCCCTGGTACCTGGTATCCGATGATCTCCCCTTTGCAGGAGGGCAGCGCCTTCCACTTGAGGGACCCCGTGTTGGGATCCAGCCACAGCTTCTCCGGTTTGTCCGGAACTGGA